TTGCACAACAACACAAATACACACATAGACACACAAACACATAAACACACACATGTGCACACACACACACACACACACACACACACACACACACACTTAGACACACAGACACAAACACATAAGCACAAACATGTGCACACACACAAACATACACACATACACACACACACACACTTTCACAAAACCACAAATACACACCTAGACATAAACACACACACACACACTAACACAAACACACACTTAGACACACAAACACATAAGCACAAACGTGTGCACACACACACACACACATACACACACACACTTGCACAACAATACAAACACACACCTAGACACACAAACACATAAACACACACGTGCGCACACGGTGCTGTGTTGGTGTGTGTGTGCTTTGCTGCAGAGGATGTCGTCTGATGTCCTCCTGATGAAGCAGACGGGGCGATAATGACCTGCTACATGCCCCAAACTCTGCGATTTACACCCGTCATGTTACTGCAGCGCCACCCTGCAGGAGCACAGCTGGACACGACACACACACAGCGGATGAGCAGAGCAGAGATCGACAGCACACACACACACACACACACACACACACATTCTGCTGCTGCTGTCTGTTTCTAGTCTGAATATCTGCAAATCCTTCAATTAAGAAGCGTTTTCTAGACGAGCAAACACACACACACACACACACACACACACACACACACACACACACACACACACACACACACACTCACTCACACACACAGCCCAGATCTGGCCCACACTATCAGCTTCTGCCTGGCCCACATGTCCTACTGAATTACGGTACATGATTGCACCAAATCCGGCTTCCATACAAGGGACCAACATGGACACACACACACACACACATACACACACACACACACACACACACAAACACACACACAGTGACAGAATGGCTGACTCCTCCATCATCTTTGTGTGTTGTCAGCTCATTATCCAGAATTAGTCTCTTCTTTCACACCCGCGTGTCGCTCTGCTTTATCCTGACATGTGTGTGTGTGTGTGTGTGTGTGTGTGTGTGTGTGTGTGTGTGCGCGCCTCTAAACTCACAGCAGACTGATATTAATGATAAGTGAAAAGCTGACAGGTCTGACGCCGCACAAACACAGCGCTGGTGCCGCTGACACGCTTTACAAGAGTGTGTGTGTGTGTGTGTGTGTGTACTGCAGACATCTTCACACACACGCACACACACAGAGACGCTCCTTACAGTCCGTGACATCAGAGCACAGTGCTTTAGACGTCAGTCTTTAGGATAACAACAGAGGAACCACATTCCAGCAAATGTTTTACACAGCAGATGCCCTTCCAGCTGCAACCCAGTACTGGGAAACACCCATACACACTCATTTACACACACTCATACACACACACACTCATACACTACGGCCAGTGTAGTTGATCAGTTCCCCTATAGCGCATGTGTTTGGACTGTGGGGGAAACCGGAGCACCCGGAGGAAACCCACACCAACACGGGGAGAACATGCAAACTCCACACAGAAACACCAACTGACCCAGCCGAGACTCAAACCAGAGAGCTTTCTGCTGTGAGGCCACAGTGCGACACCGCTAAGCCAGCACACTGGTTTTTCGTGTTTCCTGTTTTCGTCCTCATGTTCAGTCACGTTACGCCACTCGTGGATCAAACACACACAATTCACAGCAGTTTTAGGGGTCCACAGAGCATCAGCTGACCCGGTTCTGCTCTCCTGCAACACACACAGGTCAGTTGTTTACTCGTCAGTGAGAGTTATGAAGCGAGGTACGGATAGGAGGCCGCCTGTGTGGAGTGAAGGTCACCAGAGGTCATTCTGCTCCATTAATCAGAGAAACATGAAGACGCCAGCAAATAAACCCAGCAGGTGGAGGAGGACTGCAGCCCCACAGCAAGAAGCTCTCTGGTTTGAGTCTCGGCTGGGTCAGTTGGTGATTCTGTGTGGAGTTTGCATGATCTCCCCGTGTTGGTGTGGGTTTCCTCCGGGTTCTCCGGTTTCAGTCCAAACACATGCGCTATAGGGGAACTGATCAACTACACTGGCCGTAGTGTATGAGTGTGTGTGTGTGTGAGTGTGTGTGAATGAGTGTGTATGGGTGTTTCCCAGTACTGAATTGCAGCTGGAAGTGCATCTGCTGTGTAAAACATATGCTGGAATAGTTGTTGGTTCATTCTACTGTGGCGACCCCTGATTAATAAAGACAGGAAGCTGAAGGAGAATGACTGACTGAAGCAGGTATTACACAAGGTATTACCCCCCCCCCCCCTGATCATCTTTGTGTAATTCACACACTGCCTGAAAGTCTCCTTCAAACCCATCTGTGGTCTGCAGAATGAATGGGGCCGCGCGGAGGTGAAGTTCGGCTCTTACGTCATTACTGCCGGGACCCAAAAACCCCAATTGCCTTTTGAGGGTGGACTGGGAATGAAAGACGCGACCAACGGCCGGGCTCCCTCTATTCTTCTTTTCAAGGAGA